TCAACTGTCCACTATGCGGACTTAATGCAAGTCTCGTTTCCACTGGTTTCAGTCAGGTGTGAAACCGGTAATAGTAGCCGTAAGAATGACGCGTCAGTGCACATCTAATGAACTTCTACTTAAATCAAAGTACTAGCTGACAGCTTCTTTTTGACTGATAATATTGCCTTGCTTTTTTTTTTCCAACGTGTCATGACAAATGGCAATATCGAGAGCAACTCGTTTTATCAGAGAGGCCACATGCCTAAGATGTCGCATGTCATCTCTTGTGTTAAAGCTTGTTCTGCGCTGCACTTCAGAGCATCTAACTCACTTCGAAAAGCCAGTGGGGGTGTGGCAACACCTAGGCGCTTATTCGGCACGCAAATTGATGTAGATAAAGTCCATTTTCATTGTATCACTTAGCTACGTTACCATTAAAAGCTCCTCACCTGGCGGTATTTTGTATTTCGTGAGTGGCGACTTCTTATAAAAGTGTTGCTTTTTCTGTAGTTGAAAACTGTGACGATTTGAGAAGTTTTAATCAAGAACTGCAAGTCTCGTGTTCTTTTTTGTCTTCTATAGGGTCCCAGTTCCGAACGTTGCTAATTTTTCTTCGTTTTTGGACACGCTTTTAAGAAAAACGGCAACGTGAGGCACAAATAATCAACAAATGAAATCGCTCTAGCAACTAATGCTAGGGCTATTTCGTTATGCTGCCCCAACTAGCCTAAGAAATAGCACCCATGACGTAGAGGAGGTTAGGGGGTGTGACGAAATAAAGGATATAAATTGTAGGTATGAAATCGAATCAGCTTCGCGGAGCAATGCAAAATGCAGCTTATTTATAGAGGACTTCGGTGTGTATTGAACACAAGATATATGATGGTGACAATAATAATGATGATGATGATGATGCTATTTGTTGCTGCTGCGACTTATCATGCTAGCTCACTCACGTCGCAGAAACGCTTCGAAGGAAAGTAAGGTAAGCAAGAAAATTACACCCTTTCCCGCTGAAGGGAACCGTGTGTAGATGCGGAGCAGCGGGCGCTAATGTTTAATACACTGGCGGTGACGTTGACGCCGTCACTCATCGCAGCGTTGCGCAGGAGAGAAACCTGAGGAGGCGCAAAGTACGAATTGACGGACTGGTCTTTTCTACTGGAATGCGCCAATTGCTGCTAATGCGCAGTGAGAGACAGAATACTCAGATTGGACAATGAGACCTGCAGTCTGCTATTTGTTAACGCGCACGCTGCGAATTTTTATTTTTCGACAACGCACAGGAAAAATATGCCACCTCTCATTCAGGTCAAAATCCTATATATGCGGGGCGGCTAGTGAACGGTTGTGCAGCGTGAGCACTCGGTTTTTAGATGCAGAGCAGCTCTTTTATTTGCAACCAATTGTTTCATCGCATCCATCGCATCGTTATACCCTTGTATCATGGCGTTTCATTGAGCTCTTGTGTACATGTATGCCAACAGTGTCATGTATATTAGAGCAATGATGTCTTCATTGCAGCGTAGTGATGTTTGTCGTAGTACATAGATGTGCCGAAGTGTATGTGCGCTATTACTGGAATGTTATGGTACTTTTGTTTTCTGTACATAGTGTAAATAAACTTTTTTCCAGGCAGCTCTTTGACTCAAGTGTGTAACGCCGTACGTACGTGCGTCCGTACGAACGTGCCGCAACGCGTTCCCCTCGCCGCAAGTGTTGATGTGGTGCCAAGTAGGTTACGCCGCAGCTGCGCAATGCGTCACATTCCCCTCGCACACTTCCCTCGCAGGTGTACGCTGATATCACTTTCTTCCTCACCCGCACATGCTCGCCACAGCGCCCGCAGCTGTCAGCTCCTCCGCCCGCTCGCAACAAATTTCTCTCTCGCTTTACCCTCTCCCCCGCCCGCAACGCTCGACCCAACGCCGACTAAATTTCAAGCCCGAAAGGCTGCCGCAGAGACGTCAGAGGGTGGGGGCCCAGTTACGCCGCGCACGTGGCGGAAAGCCTGCGTTTCGTTCACGTTTTAGGAGAACCAACGCTCCCGCTCTCGCAGCTGCTGCGGCTTGATTGGGCCGAATAAAAGATGTGAAAAAAAAAGTCTCACTGAGCATGCTCAGTCGGGCAACTGGGCCCCCAACCTCTGACGTCACTGCGGCAGCCTTTTGGCCTTGAAATTTAGTCGGCGTTGCTCGACCGCACGTCGAGTGTAAACACTCTTTCGGCTCGTTTGTCTGCGATAAAACTGACACGAAACTCAACCCGCCTCCGGAGTATTTGCGTTTCAAACAAGCGTTTACTCTAGTAAACACCACACTGAGTTTCGCTTCAAACCGTTCTTCCAGCACCCAAGTCGACGCCCGTTTCAAACGGGTCAACGCTGTGCGCACCGCTGCCTCTTCCCATCCCATCAGGGTTCCTTTCAGGGAGATGTTTCATAACTTTTCAATCAAGAAACTAGCAAACAGACGCTGCCTGCGTCGGCGTTGCGAGGCGAGAGAGGGGAACGTATGAGAGGAAAGAGGGGTGGTGGTGAAAAACATTTAATAATATGTTTACGGTGAGAGGTGCGGATAAGGTGAGTCTGAAGTGTCCGCCTTTCACGAGGAATCCCTAGTACGGTATCCCTGCAGCTGCCGCGGCGGCTCGGGCTCTAGCCACCAATGCCTGTTGGGATTGGAGGTCAGAGCCATAGAGTTTCCTAATATACACTAGAGGGAACTCTGGCACTAGTGTCTATGGGAGCTGCAACGCACGGTGCTTCAGCGAGCATGGGAATGATGGGTAGTACACACATTTCTCTAATTTTCGTACTCCTAGCCTGTTTCTGGCTCCGTGCGTGTTCGTGTGGCTTAGAACAGTTTTTTTTTCACAAAAAATAAATTAGAAAATGTTCAGCGTTTGCGCTTTACATCCTTATTTTTTTTTAGGCTTACTATTTTGAATCAGGATACAAAGTTCAAAAGGGTTTGTTCTTTCCTTCAAAACGAAACTGTAACCAGCAATAAATAAAGCCGCAAGTACGATTCGCCGCCCGCAAGTACGGAGACTAGATGTGTGTACTACCCATTATTCCCATGGTCGCTGAACGATCGCAGCGCCAGAGTCCCCTGTAGTTAATTTTAGGAAACTTTATGGTCAGAGCAGCTGGTACGCATGCATAATGCTGGTGTAAACACCGCTGGGAGGAATGCTTAGAGAGAGGGAAGCGAGTGTAGGTTAGCACATGGGTTAGCAGACGCTCCCTGTGTCGGAATTGTGAGGCGAGAGAGGGGGGACGAGCGCAAGCAGGTGATAGGGGACAAGTGGAGAGAGTATAGAGGGAGAGAGTGACACGTAGCTGTTGGAAGAGGGAAGAAAGAAAGTTGCGCATGTGCAGTGTGAGTGTGGACGCCACCGACAACGTAGGACATGCAGCCGCATCTAAAAGAAAGACGAAAAGAATCATCTTGGCAGTCCTGAAGTGCCTGCTCTCTATGGGTTGTACCGCAGAGAAGAACCATAAGGGTGCGCTTCCTGGCGGCAGGACGAAAGAGAAATGGGTCGCGCGCACCTGCATTGCGAAAGGTTTCTGATGTAACCTGCTTTTCCCGCTTTATTTCCATCTCTCTCTCTCTCTTTGTCATTTGCTTCCCCTAATAGCGACCGTAGTGGGGCAGCGTAGCGCGTCGCAGCGCCGCGCCCGAGCGGCCGCACAACAGGCGCATTCATCTTGCTGCCACCTCCGGGCCCTGCTGGCGTCTCCGAGACGTAGTCGTCGATCAAGGCCCGATCTCCGGCGGCGCAGTGGGTGGCAGGGGGAGGGCAATTTGCGGTACGTTCCGCCCGGATGGCCATGCACGCTGGAACCCTCCTGCGCCGGAGACGGCTCGGACACGGCCCGGCGCATCTGTCCCGGGCCCCGGAGAAAGGACGAGCGCTCCGCCGCCATCGCACTGTAGCTCCCTCCTCCCCCAACGTCCTTTTCTTCCTTCACAGTGCCTGCCCTCATTTTCCGTGTGCGCGACTTGCCTTTCGCCCTTCCATCGATGGAAACGGGGCTTTAGTCCAAGCTCTCTTCATCAAGAGCACTCCGCGTGCGTCGCCAACTGTTTGTACCAATTATAACGAGAAAGATTCGACTGGATTCTCATAGAACCAGACGCCAATTAAATTTTGGAGATGCGCGAATCTTCACGTTATAATTGAATGTGTGATGACGTAGAATGTGTTTCGTAGTTATCGTCGAAGTATGAATGAGACTCGGCGAACGAAACAACAACAAAAAAATGGTGGGATGGAGAATCCACTTGAACTAGCTGCAATTTTCTTTTCAAACGGTATCAATATAAAGCCCAGATGCCTTCCACCAATGCAGTTCATAATGAAAAATCTAACCGATAGGGAGAATTAAAAAATATGAGACACAAAAGCCTTCTACATCAAGGTCTTCTCTTACCCTGTCTCATCTTTGCCTTCTTCACAAGAAGTAAATAACTATCCTAGCCATAGGATTCTAAAGGGCATGTCTCATCAATATCCACATGTTACGAACTGTGCTTGTATGAAGCAATAGCCATGTGGCACCTACAAGGACGCAGGGCTAGATTGTCGTTCTTTGCTGAGGTTTCTTTGAAAATACGACTCTACACACGTTGCCCGTAAGCGAGAATCAGCGGCGTCCAGGAGGAGCGCAGATGATTCCCGCTTTTCTTGCCAGCTAACGTGACCTGCACGTTTCACACTTTCCTACCTGAGCACTCCCTTGAGCTTCCTATTTGTGGTACCCTATTCATGGTATGGACTATTCATGAATTCAAACTTCAGCGAAAGTCAATACTGGTCGGAATCAATGAACAAGGTACTCGTCATCAGTGAAGTTCACTGTAACTATTGCAATATCTAAAGCGCGGAGACAAAAATGCGGACAAAGAAAAACACTCGAAAAACAACTTACTGTCAACGTCTTTACGGTGCTGTAAATAACCCACTTGCCTGAAGAATCACACTCCCAAGCCACTGGGCTTGGGAGTGTGATTCTTACATGGTACCGGGATTACCGTGATCAACTAGGCGGTGTCCCCAGAAAGAGGCGCGGGCACTGCACTGCGCTCGTGCTGACTTCTGCCACTACCCCAAACTGGGGCAGATGGGGCATGCAGTTGCTGCAAGTGGTCGTTCGAAACAGTGTGGTACTCTCCGATTCTCATTACTTAATGGTTGAAAGCAAAGCTCACAGAGGCTGGTTACAGCCCTCTTCGGTCAATGAACTCGCTTTCAGCATAGAGCATTACCGTAAAGGAATTTAAACGAGAGAAAAAGAAACGATGGAGAGAGACGCAATGAAAGAAAGGGTGGTTATTGTTCCATTAAATTGCCTCTCAGCTTTAAATTTCGCCGGGCATGTACGTAAAAACGAGGTCTCACGCTGCAATCACTTAAGAGTTTATTCGTGAAAAGCAATTACTGAACCTAAAACGCTGATGGCGTCAAAAATCCCGTTTACCGCCGAAGTGCTGCTGCTTATCACCTTACTGAGCGCTGATAGCACCATCCATTTTCGCTGGCGTGATACATGTTCTACGACTTAGATAGGCCTCAATTACATTATAGAGAGTATTGAGTGCGTCTGTACGCTTCTAGCTCAAAGGAACGTGCACGCACTTCTCAAGTTCGCACACGCACTATTGGACAACGTGAATTTCCATAAATTACATGCAATGTTCATTAAACCCCTATAAGGACTTCGTTGCGGAAGTTATTAATATTGAGTGGGTGATCGATTGTTTGATTTAATAAATAATTGGTTGATTGGTTGATTGATCGAACTATATTAAGAAACAAACGCATCGTTAGGTCCACCAGAGAATAAAAAGTGTGGGGCCCTGCGTTTATTTCGCAAGCCCGTTACTGTTAAATTTTACTATACCCGCATTTTGACTTACCATGAATTATAGCCCCCACAGTGGTCAAGAATCGAACCTGCAACCTTGTAACGAACGAGAAAAAAAGAGCGCTGATAGATATGTGGTGTTTAACGTCGCAAAAGCAGCATATGATTATGAGAGACGTCGCAGTGGAGGGCTCCGGAAATTTCGACCGCCTGGAGCTCGTTAACGAGCACCCAAATCTGTGCACACGGGCCTGAGAAGGGAAGCGCTGTATACCAGGAGCCTCAAACACGTGTCCAGATGACCTTTCGCGAGCATCCCGCAGTCCACCCGCGCGTCAACGTCTTCATCCCAAGAATTTATTTTTTTCCTAATAAATATGTTCACGAGTTCCACGAACGTGGCTGACAGACGTGACTTGTCTCAAGCATATTTTTCGTGAGGCACCCCATGCGGCCGCCGCGTAATGAAACATGACCGTCAACCAAACTTTCTGTATTTAAGGATACGCACGCATAGTGCAGTCATTCAGGAAATTGTTATAACTATGTTTCTTTAATGCTGACAGCGATTCTCTTCAGAAGTGATCAACATATATGGCATGAAAAATGCCTTCTCTTAAATGCACCATTAGCTACCATTTTGTCCGACCACTGCCTCCTCCCCAACTGCTCCAACGTGCTCCACTATATACTGGCCCTTGTGGTATAAATCTTCGTAAGTGCTACCCGTGGGCTCCAGTCAGTTAAAGACACTTGCTTTAAACCACCGAGCCACCATGACATCGGACGAATAACCGATCTTTTTTTATTTTCGTTATTCGAGGGACCTCTATGCACCAAGTAGCGTTTAAAAAAAGTTCTCTCGTGTTTTTCTTACTTTCCTGTCTGTACACCTTCGTCTCTTCTCCTAGAAAGGGTATCAAATTGGATATTTATCTTCTGGTTAAGCTCCCAGCTTTTCACATCACCTTTATCGTCGGTCAGAAAAATGGCCGACAATCGAAAATGCGGCCAGAGACATCCGCTAACCTAAAGGATTGCGGTGGACTTCACTTGTACCACAATACGTGGCCGCAAACGGCGTTATGGTCCGCTCAAGGGAAAAAAATCTAAAACCACGAGAAAATGGCATCTCAATAGCAAGCGCGGTTCCGTTCAGTGAGATGAAACAGAAGCACCGCGGCAAATCGATAGCTTCCTTAAAGGAGAAAACAATAATCAAAACATCAGAAACGAGCAGCAATGGACCACCAGAAATGAGCATCTGTAAACACGTAGGACTTAGGCAACAACCAATGCTTACGTCACGCTTTCACTCTAGGCAAAACAAAAAAAAAAAGACTATATGCGAACATATTGAGAATTTCCTTAAGGAATATAAATATTTTATGTGAACTGCTTTTTTATTCTTTTTTTCGCAGAATTACTTTACATGCCTCGTCAAACAAGAATTCCAGCGTGATTGTGAAACAGAACATCAAATCGCACAAAAAGAATTCCAAAAATAAAAAATTGTGGTTCGAAGCGCGTAAGCTATGCGTTAATAAGGATGATATATAGCACTAGAAAAAACAAAACGCGCACACAGAAGCACACAACACAGGCATGTGGCTTCGTGTCTTCGTTTTTTTCCACTATGCACATCATGATTTTTTATTACATTATCAAGCACAAACTAGCCCTAAAACAAGTACTGGGCGTAAATTTCGTTTGCGCCGTTTGCGTGATGAAAGCGCCATCTTCAAAAAAGCTAACGGTTTTTTTTGCCATCATCTAAAGTGCCCAAGTGACTTTCCTTATACTTGAAATCATGCAAATAAGTTCATGGCGTTTTTAAGATGATGTGTCCGGGATGACAGCTTCGTAGTGAAAATTTGTCGTTTCACCCTATTACGATGCGCTTGAAACAATTTGCTTTTTTTATAAATAAAACGAAATCCACGGAGGTCTACTTCAAATTTCTTCAGATTGACGACCCCATTTAACAACGAATGCATGCACACTTAATATAATGCAAATAAGACGTACGGTGCAGGCCCACCATTTCCGGAAGAGGTCTAATCAAGCCCATCTCAACGCTCATTTTAACATAGATTTCTTATATCAACTTCGACTCGCTGTACATCTGTGTTACTACAGTCCTACAAGTGCGCATGTGCAGCGTGAAGCCACTTTATTCTATTTATTTATTTTCATTTCACTAACAATTTTAAATATGCGTTTAGGTTCATTGCAAACATCACATATATGAGTTGCAGTGCATACATGTGAGTAGAGCAAAAAATTATCTGTAACTTGAAATCAATAGGGCAAGAAAAATTATGCATGTTTGCGATGTGTACATCGCCGTGAAAGAAAAAAAAGTACTATATTGTAAAAGAATATGCAAAAATATTCAAAAATATGAGACTCGCAATTGAGCCCCACCGGGATGGTGTAGTGGCGCAGGCATTCGCCTGCTGATCCGCAGGTTGTGGGATTGAATCCCGGCTACGGCAGCTGCATTTTCGATGCAGGCGAGAATGTTGTAGGCTCGTGTGCTCAGATTTGAGTGCATGTGATCAAAATTTCCGGAGTCCTTCATTACGGCGTCTCTCATAATCATGGTGGTTCTGGGACGTTGAAACTCGCATAATATTAATAGACACGCACTGGAGCAATATTGTTTATAATCTACAAGTCATTTCTAGCATGCGAGAGAATTAACAGAATAAAGGGGGAGGCGAAAAATTCAGTTGATAGGAGGAGCTCTAATAATGCCGCACATTCACTGCAAAGGTGTCAAGCTTATGAGGGCCTTTTGTCACCATGAAGACCTTTATTGCAAGGGCCATGCGACACAGCTGCCTTTGTTATAAAGACCTTGTGTTACTGCAAAGGTTTTTTTTTTGTTAAAAGGGTTTCGAGTCGCTACAAAGGTCATAGTGTTATAAGGGCCTTTCGACCCTACAAAGGTGTTAATGTTACATAACTGCCTTGCGCTGCAGCAACAGTACTGGGACCTGTCGTCCCTCTTTCTCACCGTGTCATAGCAAACCACTCACTCGCGTGAAATTCTGCCCTCTAAATCCGACTTATAAGACGCCGTGGTCATGCCACGTATACATGCCCGCCTACAGATCGCCCAAAAGCCACTCGGCCTGCGGAAGACGAACGTCAAGAGAGCCCCCGTCTAGCACTATAAGCCGGTGTCAGTACACGCTCTCTATACATAGCACCTCCTTCGGAGAATGGAGTGCCGCTGTGCGAAAACAACAAGATGGGACAACATTTCGCCGTGTATACAGCTTGTATACGTGGGAGTTCAACAGTTCTTTACTTTCTTTTGTTTCTGTACTTCTCATGGTGCTCTTTACCGCGCGACGCCAGCTGAAAATAGATAACGGAATGCGAGTGAAAAGAAGGAAAGGGAGTTACTCTTTTGCGTCTTTCTTCACATAAAACGTGGGCAAATAAGCGGGGTGTTCGAGAATAAGAGCAAGAAAACCATCTGTCGAACAGAAGGAAAGAAAGAAAGAAAACAATAGAGAGAGAAAGGCGGTTAATCTCTGGTCCCGCGCGGTGGTTTCGTTCGCGGCGGTGGCGAGAAGCGACAGGCTTTTCGGCTCGCCGCCCGTGGTACCATACACCTCGCATCGTCGCCGGCCATTCGGCACTGGCCACCATTCGTCTCTGTCGCCAAAAATTAAACGTCCACGCACAGGCGCTCCATATCTCACCCTTCTGACTGCCGCCGCCGCCAGCCATGACGCCGATAGGCCTTTCTCCATCACTCTTTCCTCCTCTCCTTGTCTCTCTAAACACCCCTCCCCCCACTGTCGCCCAACCACGCGCACTTTCACCCTCTGGGCACGTCTCGGCTTTTCGCAAAGACTGGCTTTTGTGGCTTTCGAAGTCGTTATGTCTCACATCCTCACTGGCCTTTCTCGAATTTTTGTTATCTCTCGTCTCGACTCGACCTTCTGTTATAGGTCGCAAGATTTTAATTTTTGTTGTTTACCTTTCTTTGGTTTTTCATTGTTTGGAGTCCTTTCTTTTCTTTTTAGCTCGTCGCACATTTTTTTTGTTCCCGCGTCCTCTATTCATCTCATCATTCTGAAATACCGCATTGCTTTGTTCTGTCGAACCTTAAGGACCCGACGTTCATCTTCACATTCTTAAGTACAGATTGCCCGGCAAAAGATTTGAGGATTTTCTTTAAAGACGAAGGGCTGAGAAAGGTGAGATAAAATAAAGGTAGAACAATGTAACAGAAGACTTACGAATGCAAGAGAGTTTGAGCATATCGGAATAACTAAGCGAGAAAAGTAATT